CTACAGTAAGGGGAACGAGGGTCTTTTTCACTTCCTCCTCCTCATCGCCAGAGGAAGGTGGAACCCTAGATGGGTCAGTGTCCTTGGTCTTTTTACCACCTTGACGATGTTTTACCATGATGATTCTGTTGGGGAAATAAGGCACTAACGACGAGAAATATGACTTCAAAGAAGTGGAGGAGTCTCACACGAAATAACGGTTACAAGAAAGAAAGGCAAAGAAGTAAACCAGAAAATGTTTTCCAAAGGTTCGAAAGATGAATCGGATTGAACCTCTCCCCCATTTATAGGGTTAGGTTGCGCAGAAATCGAAGAGTCATGATTCAAAACGTGCGCGGGAAACCAAAATGTCACATCATCCTTTGAACCGCCTCGGGAGTAAGTATAATAGTGACGCATACAGGCGATGACATCATTCCGAAAAGGAAGTCGCGCGTCAGTGGCTCAACAACGTCATACATATCGCCTCATTCACGTTGCGACATCGTTTAAGACTCAATGTCTTCACTAGGAAAACGTTACCTATTTTTCTATCTTTTTGATTATTTCGAGGGAGGTCTCCTACTATATAAGGGAGACCTTCACATTGTAAAAGGGGATGATTCTTGAAGAATACAACTCTCTCATTTTCTCCTACTCTCTCTCTATCTCTATCTCTAACGAATACTTTCTCTTGAGTTCATATTATCNGTGTACTTGGATCAGTTGCTAAAATACCTATGTTTCCCAACAAAGTTCAATAACTGGGTGAGAGCATGTGTAACAACAGTGAGCTATTCAATCATGATAAATGGGGAGCTAACAAAGCCTTTTGATGCTGCTAAAAGACTCAGACAGGGTGATCCCATATCACCATTTCTATTTGCAATTGCAATGGAATACCTAAGTAGGCTACTCAAAGGGTTGAAGCATGTCCAAGAATACAAGTTTCATCCTAGATGTGGTAAGCTGAACATAAAACACATCAGCTTTGCAGATGATTTACTGATGTTTACTAGAGGTGATAGTAAGTCTGTCAATATTCTTCATACATGCTTTATGAAATTCTCTGCTACATCTGGTCTCCTAGCTAATCCCAACAAAAGTGCAATCTATTTTGGAGGAGTTGATCAAAGTACAAGACAGGAAATATTGCAGAACACTGGGTATTCAGCAGGGAAGTTGCCCTTCAAATATTTGGGCATACCACTGGACACAAAGAAATTATCAGCTATGCAATGGCAACCACTGATTGATAGAATAGTTGCAAGGATCTCATCTTGGACAGCAAAGAAATTATCCTATACAGGAATGGTGCAGTTAGTCCAATCAGTGATATTTGGTATCCAATCTTATTGGTCCCAAATATTCATATTGCCAGCTAAAGTGATCAAACTGATAGAATCATATTGCAAGAGTTATATTTGGTCTGGTTCTAATACAATCACAAAGAGAACTCTAATAGCCTGGGATAAAATGTGCTTACCTAAATCTGCTGGAGGGTATAATCTACTGAATCTCAGAATATGGAACAGAGCTGCTATTACCAGTATTTATTGGGATCTTGCACAAAAGAAGGATAAAATGGATCCACACCTACTACATAAAAGGGCAGGCTAATGGAAATGAACATTCCTCAACAGGCAAGCTGGATGGTGAGAAAGATAATGGATGCAAGAGAAGTGGCTCAGCAAGTACCTACGGCTCTTAACAAGAAAAGTAAAACCAAACAAATATACTTGGCCATTCTGGGAAACTATAGCAAGGTGGCATGGAGAGCCTTAATGTTCCACAATGAAGGTAGGCCCAAAGCAATATTCACTATGTGGATGCAATGCCATGAGAGACTTATGACAACAGATAGACTTGCAAACTGGGGTGTTCAAGTGAATACAAGATGCTGTTTATGTGATGGAGCAGATGAATCACATGATCACTTATTTGGTGAATGTAGTTTTACTAAAGCAGTTTGGGGAAAGCTCATGCAATGGATACAGAGTCAGATGAACCCAATGTATTCATATGCACAGATGATAACATGGATAGTAACACAAGCCAAAGGAAAATCGTGTAGAGCTAAAATACTGAAAATGGTGCATGCAGAACACATCCATGGGATATGGAGGGAGAGGAACAACAGAATATTTGAAAAGACAATGAGAACAACAGACCAAATTGCAAGGGAAATAGCATGTGTTTGTAACATTAGAGTCCAAGGAGAGATGAGGAAGAAGATGCAGCAGTTTATGTACTGAAAAAACATGTAACTCCAGCTTATTTTGTAATGCTCTATGTACTGCTCCTAGAATAGGATAGTATTAGATTTATGTAAAAACTAAGTGAGTCGAGGATGACTCTACTGCTTTGTAATTGCTTCTTTGGTGATTAATTAAAAACATAATTACAAACAAAAAAAAAATCTAAAAAAGTGAACCCATAAAACTTCAATCTTGGATCGGTTGGGCCACAAATAGTTAACAAATGCGCTACAAAATGAACTTAAGGTAGATCGCTGCTTAAACAATCGGCATAGGGTGGCGACAAGGTACTTATCTATCGTGACTAAAATCTTATTTCCTTTGTGTACTATATCCATTGACTAGACACACACACACACACACACACATATATATATATATATATATATATATGCTTAAGTTGAGTTTTAAAAATTTGCATTTATAAATTTGTAATCATTTCAAGATTCATTTTGCTTGGTAGTTCCTTGTTTGGTCTTTATCTTCTTGTTTACAGGGTTTGGGAATTGCCAGAAAGTTTTCAGAGAAGTGCAACAAACAGTAGATTTGATAACCGGATAAACATCAGAGTAAGCATTGGTACGTCAGTCCTCACTATTTCTATTGACACTTTGAGAAGAAAGGATTCAGTATGGTTTTTAATTCAGGAGATAGAAAATACAATATGTAATATTTGATATCCTTTTATTTCAAAGGTCGTAACTCGCAATGTTTACTCTAGTGTTTTTGTTTTTGAGAAAATTTCATATTAAAACAACTGGGCTGCCTCCTTTTCATCTTTATAGCCCACATTTCAATTTACAATTGAGTAGCCCAAAAATTATAGGCCCATATCTGAAAAAGGAGCGTTAATTCCTTTTTTTGGGAGAAAAAAGCGGGATTTTCTGCATTTTCTCAGATTCTTTCCAATCTTCTTCCCCAAATACTTCAAAAACGAGATCTTCCCATGAATGCAGCTCCAAAAACCCTAGAATTTCTTCTTCATCTCGAATTAACGACAAATCAAACACGAAAAGTAAAATTTGTTTGCCGCAAATCAGCGCAATTTTAGTTTTTGCTTCAATTTTGATTTCCATTTTTTGTTCGATGGAGATTTTTCCAGTTTACGTTCTTCATAGTGGTGAATGGGAACAAAACAAGTTTATCAATTTCGTCAGCGATTGTGTAATAATCGAGTCGACATTCACCTACAACAATTTAGTTGCAACTATTTCAGAACAGATTAGGATCGATAGTGAGTTAAACACAATAGAGAATAACTTTCTCCCAAATGTTGGTTTGCCACCGATCCTGATTTACAACGACACAGGTGTGAAGGTGTATATCGAATTAAAGAAGAAAAACTTGAATTTCACTGAATATCCTTTGTTTGTGACAGTGAAAGAGATATATGAAAGTTCCTACAAGTTCTAGTTGTGTAGTTGCTACAAGTTCCAGCTGTTTGGTTGGTACAAGTTCAGTTTCTAGAGATGTATCAACAATTGATAGCACTGAGATTATTGATATCAAATTTATTGAAAACACGAAATTTAGTGAAAACAAAGGGTATAATAGATGATATATTGAACGAATTTGTTGAGGAAGATCAAGTTTATAAGGATAAAAAGACAGTTGTCAGTGTGATGAAGAACTTGGTTGTACGTGAAAGGTTCCAATTCAAGGTGAAGAGATCAAGCGCAACAAGGTATGTAAATAATTGTATATTCTGTTATATATATATGTATAAATATGTATAAAGTAGTATATATTTGTATCTAGGTATTAAAATTAGTATATATGTAGTTATGTTTTTGTATACAAGTGTATTTAGAAGTTGAATGATCTTTAATCCTAGGTATCACTTTATGTGTATGGATGAAAATTGTGCTTGGAGTTTCAAATCTTCTACCGTTTTCAAGGCAAACATATTCAAAGTGAGAAGTTACAATAATAATAATAACACATGCGGCTATAGTGAAAGACACTTAACACAATGTCAAGCTACTTCGGGTGTAATTGCTAGTATAGTCAAGGACAAGTATGTTAATACAAAAAAAGTTTACACCGCAAATGATATAATAGAGGACATACAAAAGCAACACGGAATTGAGGTGAGCTACATGAAAGCATGGAGAGATAAAGAGATAGCAATGGCAATGATAAAAGGGAGTCCTAGTGATTCATATAAGGAGTTGCCGAAGTATTTTTATATGTTAGAGCAAACAAATCCAGGAACGGTTACAAAATTGCACAAATCAGAAGATGGATGCTTTCTTTATGCATATGTTTCGCTATATGCATCTATCAAGGGCTGGGAGCAGTGCAGACCGATAATGGTTGTTGATGGAAGTTTCCTTAAAGCAGCATATAAGGGTACCATATTGACTGCTTGCACACAGGATGGAGCTGGTGAGTTGACTGCATCTACCTTGTTTCTGCAGTTTGTATAATGTTGTAGTTTCATGTATACAAGTGTATAGGATTTCTCAGCTACTGTTTTTATAAAATTTGCAGTTGGTATAAAATTGTATAATTGTGTATAACTGTGTATAATATTCGTATAATTGTCTGAATCCTAATATCTATTTTGTATAAACAGGAAAAATCCTTCCACTTGCATATGCAATTGTAGATTCAGAGAATAACAAATCTTGGGAGTGGTTCTTTGTCCAGATAAAGGGTACTTTTGGAGTTAGGGAAGGGATATGTATAGTTTCAGATAGAAATGAAAGCATCTTCAATGCCACAAAAGCTGTGTACCCAGAAGTACCACATTGTATTTGCATGTTTCACTTGTGGCAGAATGTAAAGCGCACATTCAAGAAACATCACAAACAATTGAAGGATATATTCTTTGCTTTGGCTAGAGCTTACACGGTAGAGAAGTTTGAGTACCATATGACAGAGATGTGCAAAATTGATCTGAGAGTGCAGCCTTACTTGTTCGAAATTGGATACGAAAGGTGGTCTAGGGAATATTCCAAAGTGAAAAGGTCGATGATAATGACTTCCAATATTGCAGAGTCAATTAATGCAGCAAACAAGGATGCTAGAGAATTACCAGTAATGCGATTGCTGGAGTACATGACAAATTTGCTACAACAGTGGAACAACAAAAATAAAAAAAGTGCAATGGAGACATCTACAAAGCTTGGCAAAAAGTACGACAAACTCCTTCGAGAAAATCTGATTGCATCAGAGCAAATGACGGTAAATTGAATCAAATATAATGATGCTTGGCACTGCTGACTTGCATTTTACTGCTTGTATAAGGATGTACATCTCTGTATAATAATGTATAATGTTCTTTCACTTTTTTTAAAAAAATTTTTTTTTTTGCAGGTGAGGCCTGCTACGGAGAAGTTATATACTGTGTTTGAAGGGGTAAGGCGAAACATAGTGTGCCTTGAAGAGGGAACATGCAGTTGTGGAAAATTTCAAATGGATGAACTTCCATGTCCGCATGCTTGGGCGGTTTTGAAGAACCAGCAGCTGAAACCTAGCCAGTATTGCTCTTTTTACTACAAGAAGGATAAACTCCTTAGAACTTATGAATTTCCAGTGAATCCGATGCCAGATAACAGTCTATGGGTAATCCCAACAGAGGTAATGGAAGATGTGGTCCTACCACCTAAAGGAAGAAGGAATGCAGGAAGGCCAAGAAAGGAAAGACTCAAACCTGCTTCAGAAAAAGAGTCTAAGAGGGCGTTTTCATGTTCTGTGTGTGGACAAGGTGGTCACAATAGAAAAACATGTAGGAATCGACCAAAATAGATAGTTGAAAACATAACACTTCCTATTACATTTGTTGTCATGTTGAGTAGTTAAGTTTCACAAAGAATAGAGTTACAAATGTTGAGTAGTTAAGTCTCACAAGTAATTGAATTACAAATGTCAATAAAGATTTACAACTTACGCTATATATTGCAATTGTGTTAAATATGTTTCATTATACATGTTTTGATTATCCAATAATAGTGTGTTGCTGTTTTTAATGGTGCTAAATATATTGATACATTGTGAAAATACAAAACAGAACTGCTGGTATTATATGTATACAAATGTATAAATGAGAGTATAAGTTTGTATAAATATGTATAAACCCTGCTACAACAACAAAACTGCAACCATAATGAAAATACATACTTTGTTAAAGGACAAAAGCAACTGATATATTCATTAAAATGTAATTCATTCACAGCCACAATGTGTAATGACTACCGCAAATTACACAAAAATAAAAACATCTATAAAATCCTTTAATGCTATCTCACAAGTAGCAGAATAGTACTAAGACAAAACTAGGCAACAACTCCTGATACATAGAAAAACTACAGTAAAATGAAAAAAATAGAACTACTTTCTCGGTCGCCCCCTCTTCCTCTTCTTGAAAAGTCTCCCTGTGATTTCATCACCACTAATTGCACCGGACTGTTGCTTTTTCCTTCCATAATCCCACAACAGAGATCCCCACCTGGTGCGAAGTGTCTCAATGTCAAAATTATCTTTTCGAATTTCCTTACCAAGGATGAAATACTCAGCAAAGCCAGTAACAAAAGCACCTGTAACGACCCGAACGGTCATTTTGAGCCCTAGCGCGTCGTTCAGCAGTCTGAGGCCATGAGCAGCTTCATTTCAGGTATTGTTACTTGTTCGCATGGTCGGAATTTAAATTCAGGCAGATCGGAGTTAAATTTAAATGAAAGTTCTCATTTGAGAAGCTTAAAGTTGAAAGAATGAACTAGGATTGGGTTTTTGAGTAAACGACCTCGGAATCAGGATCCGAAGGTTCCAGCAAGTTCGTATGATGATTTCAGACTTGGGCGTATGCCCGGTTCGGGTTTTGGATAACCCGGGTGTGTTTTGGCGCCTAATGTGGAAGTTAGCATTTTAGAAGGAATTTCTTAAGTTTGACTTGAAGTGCATTTCAGTGTTATCGATGTCCATTTGGGATTCCGAGTCTGGGAATAGCTCCGTATGGTAATTCTGGAGTTGGGAGTGTGATCGGAAGTGAATTCGGAGGTCCGTAGGTCATTTTGAAGCCATTTGGCTAAAGATAAAAATTTGAAGGTTTTTGGGTAGTTTGACCGGAGGTTGACTTTTGATATCGGGGTCGAAATCCAATTCCGAAAGTTGGAGTAGGTCCATAATGTCAAATATGATTAGTGTGCAAAATTTTGAGGTCAATCGAACGTGATTTGATAGGTTTAAACATCGGAAATAGAAGTTGGAAAGTTCAAAATTCATAAAGATTGAATTGGGGTGTAACCCATGATTTTCGTGTTGTGTGATGTGATTTGAGGCCTCAAGCAAGTTCGTAATGTGTTTTGGGATTGGTTGGTGTGATTGGTTGGGGTCCCGGGGGCCTCGGGTGGATTTCGGGTGGTTAACGGATCGAAATTGGAATTTGGAAGAGAGCTGAAGGCATCTGGTTACTGGTATTTTCGCTTCTGCGGTTGGTTGACCGCAGAAGCGGCACCGCAGAAGCGAACGGGGAGCCGCAGAAGCGGTTTTTGGTCCAAGGCTTGAGGACCGCAGATGCGGTCAAGGTTCCGCAGAAGCGGGACCGCATCTGCGGAAGGAGCATCGCAGAAGCGAGAAAGGGCGGCTTGGGAAGGAGCCGCAGAAGCGGCCTTTTGACCACATAAGCGGAACCGCTGATGCGGTAGGGCTTCCGCAGAAGCGGAAATGACTGGAGGCAGAAGCTTGTTTTAAATCGTGGGATTGAGTTCATTTCTCCCATTCCTTCATGGCTTGGGCGATTTTTGGGGAGCTTCAAGAGGGGATTTTTGTCGTCAATGTTAAGGTAAGTTATCCTTATCACTTTTGAGTTAATTACATCAATTATGCATTGATTTTAGCGTGAGAATTAGTGTAAAATTGAGGATTTTGGTGGAAAACCTAGAAAATTATAATCTTGTATTTTGATCACGATTTTGAGTATGGAATTAAGAGAAAATCATATATTTGAGTTCCTAAGGTCATGGGTAACCTTTATCTTCGAGAAATTTTGGATTCCGGGCACGTGGGCCCGAGGGCATTTTGGTCATTTTACTAAGCGGAGTTGGGAATTTGTATAATCTGAATTGTTAACAAGTATTTGAGTATATTCTCATTAGTTTGTCGTTAATTGGCTAGTTTTGGTGCATTGTGCGTTGGTTCAAGCCTTCGGAAGAATGTAGAATGCCGGCTATGAGTCTTCGGAGCGAGGTGAGTCTCCTTTCTAATCTTGTGAGGGGGAATTTACCCCATAGGTGAAGTAATTGAATATGTGCTCCTATTTGTGGGGGCTACGTACGCACGAGGTGACGAGAGTCCGTGCGTAGCTACTATTATGCTATTGTCCGGGTAGTTAGGACCCAAAAGCATGTTGCACGTGGATTAATTGTGAACCCATTGGTAGCTCGAATTGTTTAACTCACATCGAATTAGTAAGTAAATTTCTAAAAGGATTAAACTTCATTTCTTAAATTGTTAAAGGAGAATTTGGTTTTATTTGAATAAATATTCCCCGATAAGTTCTTATTTGACTGATTGAGCATGTATTTTATGTGTGTCTGCGTCGCATGGATGATTCGCGAGCAGGATATGTGTTTATTTATGGAACGGGCCGAACGCCTCGCTGAGAATAGATGCATCTATGGTTCGTGCCGTTCGACTCTCGGCAGTGCAAAATTTACATTTCTGTTGGAGCGGGCCGTCGACCTCGGCATGATTTGCGCGTGTTTATCTGTTACTTGAAAATTTTAAATGTGGAATTGGCCCTACGTGGCTTGATATAAACTGATAAGATAATAAAGAACAAACTTTAGAAGCCCTGGATTTATTGTTGAAGGTGTTTACCTGTTTTTCTGGCTTCACAATCAGAACTTCTATACAAATCCATGATTTTCCTCGCACTTATAGAATATTGCTAATTGACCTCTAGTGAGTGTCGGAGTTGGCCATCTCGTCTCTACCCCTTCGGGATTAGGCGGGATACTCACTGAGTACACGTTGATTACGTACTCATACTACACTTCTGTGCATTTTTGTTGCACAGGTATATTTTACATTTGGTAGCAGCACGGATGATTGGGGACTTGGTGAGCTGCATTGTTCGAGACGACCCGCAGCTAGAGTAGTTCCCTTCCAGTACCTTACTTATTTATTCTCTGTCCGCTGTATTTCGGACAGACATTTATATTTTATCGTCCTTATCAGTAGTTGCTCATGCTCTTGTGACACCGGGTTCTGGGATGGTTTTTCTTTGAAGGTTGCGTATTATTAGTTATCTCTTCATTTGAATTAAAACAGAGGTTGTATGTATATGAAAAATGGAAGTAAAACTCTTAGATTTTTAAAATTATTAAAAGAAAAATTAATGGATGAGTNGCATAAGAAAAAATAACAAGAAATAGATCAGGAACAAAAACTATACAAAAACATTTTATAAAAATATATAAATAAGTATAGCAGAACTTGTATAAAGATGTATAAACAGCTGTATAACTTTGTATAAAATTGTATAAGCATGTATAAATTACTAGCAACACAGGGAATACCTTCAACTTAGATTTTCTCTCATTCAATTTGGAGCGAATAGCAAATCTTTGTTCTTTCGATAAGGAATCAAGGCCACTATCACCATCATCCTTGATCTTTCTCCTTTTCGATTTAACATTGCGGCCTACATCATCTTCGTTAACCAAATCAACTTTCAGCTTTTCTTTTAATTTTTGAGGTCTCCCACATTTCTTACTCCGTATTCTAACAGTGTTAACCAGAGTAGGAGTATTACTTGTTTGCGATCGAGTCACTCGAGTGCTCCCTTGTCGCAACTTTTTTGGAGGAGGAGGAGACTCAAAATCATCATCATCGGGATCCCGGACATGCGTTTTCGCTTAAGAAGAAGGTGGTGAGGGCAAGTCACTCGATGATTTAACTGGAGTGGGAGTATTTCTCGTTTGCGAACGAGTCATCCGACTGCTCTCTTGTTGCGAATTTTTAGGAGGAGTAGGAGACTCAATGTAACGACCCGAGCCGTCGTTACGGGAGTTACAACCCCGTTTTCCCCGTTTTATGCTTCTATATGTTTCATTATATGTGTTTGGAGAATTTGAAGTAATTCGGTTAGAGTTCGGTTAGAAATGAGACAATAAGTCTCTTTATGAGAAGGTTAGTTTGGAAAAGTCAACCGAATGTTGACTTATGAGTTAGAAGGCTCGGAATGGAATTCCGATGATTCGACTAGTTTCGAGGGATGATTTGTGACTTAGGAGCGCAATCGGAATTGAATTTGGAGATCCGGTGTAGAATTAGGCTTGAATTGGCTAAGGTTGGATTTTGGCGAATTCTGGATGGTAGGTGAGATTTTGATCCGAGGGTCGGAATGGAATTCTGAGAGTTGCAGTAGCTCCGTTAGGTGATTTTGGATATGCGTGCAAAGTTTCAGATCATTCGGAGGTGTTTAGGTCGGGTTTTAGATCAAATGCAAGTTTCGGAAGTTTTAGCTTAACTTAGGCTTGAATCCGTGGTAATTCGATGATTTTGATGTTAACGATAGTGTTTTGATGATTGGAACAAGTTTGAATAAGGTCTTGGGGTGTGTTGGTGCTACTGTTTGAGGTCCCGGGGGCCTCGGAGTGATTTCGGGTGGTTAAACGGAGAATCTTGATGTTTGTGCAGGTCTGGTGCACCTGGCTTCTGGTATTTCCGCATCTGCGGAAAAGGAGCCGCAGAAGCGGTTCCGCAGATGCGGCTAAGAGATCGCACAAGCGGTCTGGAGTGGAGTT